AGCATTAAGAAATATTCATTACCTTTAGTGATCAAAAATATCAAAATTACTTTAATATTTCATATTACAGCAGCCAGAAAGGACAAGATATGCATAGAATATGACAGTACATGCTACAAGGATGTTGGGTGAGGAGAATACTCATCCTTTGTCAGTCAGAGTGAAAACTTCTAAAACCACTATGGATATCTATGAGATGGTTCTTTAGGAAGTCGGGAATAGAACTACCTCAAGATCCAGCTATACTGCTATATATCCCAAGGGCTCTACATATTAATTAGTACAGAGATACATGCACATTAATGCTTATTGCTCCTCCGTTCATAATAGCCATAAACTGGAAACAGCCTAGATGCCCATCAATTGAAGAATAGATGATTAAAATACGGTCCTTTCACGCAACAGATTATTCAGCCATTAGTTAAGGTACAAAATTAGGAAAGTTGTAGGTAAATGGATAGAGATACAGAATATCATTCTGAGTGAGATAATATAAACCCCTAAAGACAAACACCCTCAACAGATACCAAAGCTCTGTGGTCATATAGATTTTACTCCTAAAGAAAAACACTTGAAATTAATATAAACATATAATACAAAAACTGTTTCCAGTTTATGGCTAATATGCACAGACGAGCAAAGAGCATGAATACACATGTATCTCTGTACTAAATAATGCTGCTATGAACATAGTGGAAGAGATGTCCTTGTTGTATGAATGTGCATTCTTTAAGTATATGCCTAAGAGCATAGTTGTTGAATCTTGAGGTAAACAGATTCCTAATTTCCTGAGGACCTGCAATAGTGATTTGCAAAGTGACAGTACAAGTTTGTGCTCCCACAAAGAGTGAAGAAGTGTTCCCCTCTCTCCACATCCTTTTCAGCATAAGCTGTCATGGTGTTTTTGATTTTAGCCATTGTGACAGGAGTAAGATGGTATTTCAGAGTTGTTTTGATTTACATTTCCCTGATGGCTAAGGATGTTGAGAACTTTCTCAAGTCTCTCTCAACAATTTTAGACTCCTCTATTAGGAAGTCTCTATTTAGTTCTATACACCACTTTTTAATTGGATACTTTGGTGTTTTGGACACTTGATTCTTAAGTTTTTTGTAAATTTTAGAGATCAGCCCTCTGTCAGATGTGGGGTTAGTGAATATATTTTCCCATTTTATGGGCTGGCTTTTTGTCTTGTTGACTGTGTCCTTTACCTTGCAGAAGCTTCTCAATTTCAGGAGGTCACATTTATTAATTGTCAATCTTAGTGTCTGTGCTACTGGGGTTATGTTCATGAAGCTATCTCTTGTACTAATTCATTAATGGGTACCTCCCACTTTCTATTCTAAGTGGTTAAATGTGGCTGGATTTATGTTGAGGTCTTTGATACATTTGAACTTAAGTTTTGTGCATGGTGATAGATATGGATCTATCTGCCATCTTCTACATATCTGCATCCAATTATCCCAATACCATTTGTTGAAGATGCTTTCTTTTTTTCCATTGTATAGTTTTAGCTTCTTGTCAAAGATCAGATGTTCATAGTTGTATGGGTTAATATCAGAGTCTTAAATTAGATTCTGTTGGTCTACTGACTAGTTTTTTGCTAGTAACTAAAAAAATCAGTAGCCCTACTAAACACAGATGATAAATGTGCTGAGACAGAAATCAGAGAAACATCACCCTTTACAATAGCCACAAAACCAAAATATTTTGGGGTAACACTAACCAAACAAGTGAAAGATCTGCATACCAAGAACTTGGAAACTCTAAAGAAAGAAATTAAAGAAGATATCAGAAAATGGAAATATCTCTCATGCTCTTGAATAGGTAGAATCAACATAGTAAAAATGTCAGTCTTTCCAATAGCAATCTACAGATTCAATGCATTCCGCATCAAAACACTGGCACAATTATTCACAGACCTTGAAACAATAATACTTAACATTATATGGAAAAACAAAAGACCCAGGATAGTCATAGCAGCCCTCTACAATAAAGGAGCTTCCAGAGGCATCACCATCTCTGACTTCAAGTCCTGCTTTAGACCTATAGTCCATTTTTATTGGTTTAATTGTTTAATTATTAAACTTTTCTAGAGATAGAGCTATGGAGCACATCATCCTTCAAAATGCCTATTGATATTGTATCCCTGTTTTACCACAAAGTTTATCTCAGTAATACATGAAAAACATTATATGCATAAAGGAAGGATGAAAACTGCAATTGTTTTCCTATACCTCAACATAAATTATACAATTATCAACAAAAAACATTTACTCTTTGATCTTTTATGTTAGTGCCTGGTGTATGAGTCAAAGTAAATCTTTAGAAGCAGTGATCTGTTTCTCATTTTTCTGAGAATCTAGAAATAATTACTTCTTCATTGTTTTACAAACTATAGCAATAATCTTTGTATCCTATAAATTAGATTTTAATATTTAAGGCTGTTTTGAATATATTTATGAACAAGACCATTCTTGATAAAATAATTAGGAAAGTTCCTTCAGGCAATAGAGAGAAAATATGTATTTCTCTATAAAAGATTATAGAAAATTCATGACAAATAAGAATGCAGAGCTCTATCTCAGGCCCCAAGGAAATAAAATACAAAAATCAAAATGAAGAAGCAGTTCTTGCTCATTAGGAAATGGTCGGGTAAGTTATCGCTTCTTTCTGAAATGTACGAGTTGTAGAATAATTGAGCATACTCAGCCATGGAGAATTAAATATCAGAAGAAAATAGAAAACAGACCTAAAATAAATGTTACTTAGCTTAAAAAACATCACCATAAACAGGAAATATATCTAACCATTCTGCTTTGATGATAGATTTTTTGTTTGATAGGACAAAAATCTTCCTTTTGTTATTAGTGAAACACAGTTTGATACCTATTATATGTGTGTGTAAACTATATGTGATAAGGTGTTTTTACAAAATAGGTAAGTTTTACAAAAATAGGTAAATTTAACACAAGGAGATATTGAAAGGGGAAAGCTGCTGGCTCACTGAGTCTAAAAAATTGATTATATACATTGCTTTTTACCTGCAATTTTTCCTAGTTTGCAATATGAATATTTATATGTTTAAGATGACACATTTGAAACTGTAGTTTTGGATTTTGCTTGGGATTTATTTTTTCAAGAAACTTAAACCTATTTGCTTAAATATAAAAATATATATTTGTTTGGGATATGTGTATGTATTCTTCTGAATTAAAATGCTTCTGAAAATAGAAAAAAACAAAAAAATAGGTAAATTGACAGTTTTAAAGAATTTTAAAGTATTTTAAGGAAACTGTCACTGTTAAATTGAGCATCTTGGAGTTCACATGAAGATTATGTATGCTTTCGTGTCCAGGAAACGTCACTTTTATGAGTGTTTAATTAAAATTTTATCAAATGCAGTTTCATTTAAATTATGAAAAGTTATATTTATAACCAGAAGTGATGAAATATTGTCATTTTGATTTACATTTCCTTCATGATCAGAGATGTTTAATCCTTTTCCCATGGCATTCTTCTGCCAGGTTTGCAGAAGGCTCCAAGAAAAGAGATTTGTCTAACTTGTAATCTATTTCTTTGGGATGTGTTGCTGTATTGTGTGTGTTTCTTTTTCTGAAGGGGAGTTCATAGCAGGTATATGTGCTGCAAGTCTTATGTCTCATTCCTTTCCCTGGCTGCCTTCTCAGTGTCGTGATTGCTTTATTCTGTGAAAGCTTGTTTGGTGTACTCACATCATTTAATTCTTCTGCTGTCTGAGCTTTATTGTGATACCCAAACAATCATTTTCAATCCAAAATCCCAGGATGCAGTCTGCTCACTTTACTTCTAGGTCTATTATGAGTTCCAGGCATCTCACGTCTAAGAAATACATGCTCTCTTTCTGCTTAGTCCATTCAGTTTCCTGGTGTTTGATTGGAGCTGACCATTCAGGGTCTTCCTATGTGAATAAAACCTCTCTGTAAGCATCCTCTTTCAAGAGAGTGTTTTACTAACCTTCTAGGAATTTTTCAGTGAAATCATATGGATAATCAAGATTAAGCACACAGCTCCAATCATCTCTGCCATGCAATCAACCCGAGTTCCCTTTAGCTTTGGAAACCATTTCCTCCTTTTTATTTATGAGCACTTGGGCCTTTCCTTCACTAAGAAGGAAACTGTCTGGTGCTGACCTCATCAGATGGTTCCACTTCAGGACCTTCAATGTCTTCATATCAGGCCTTCATTGTCTGGGAGCTACTGTCCAGGGTATTGTTAATTGTCAGTTGAGTGAGAATTAATTACCATTAACAATATGAGAATTAAAAAATTTAAATAAGTGCATCTTTAAACTTTAATACCATGCCTGATAGTGTAGACACATTTGATAAGAAAACATAATACCATAGAAAATATTTCAGAAAGATTATCATTTTTTCCTTTTGTTGGATTTAATTGAAACACTTTGCCTTCATTATTTTGAAGCATTTTTTTCAATACCCTAATTTTCTTTGCTCCCATATTCTTTAATGTTGATGTTGCTATGATTTCCTCTGTAATAGCTTGTTTTAAGGTTATTTTCTTTGTTCGCAAAATTTTGAGCCAACATTATTCAAACTAGCTTAGCATAGCCACCTCTGAAATAAAAAATGTTAACAAACAGCTAATTTTCTGTTTGCAACATCAACGAGATGTACTTTAAAAAGTTGAGCCTTCATTTTTGTGTATGTTCACTTGCTCATCTTAGACAGAATCATAATTTGCAGTGAATTCTGGCTGTGAATTTTAAGGGCAGTGCAGGTTACCCTGGACCTCATGATGTCTTGTATCTGACTCCTAAGGGCTGGTACTGGAGGTGTGTACCTTGACTTAAACATCATTTGGGGAGGCTCTGGAGGCTACAGTAGCTTGAACTTAGAGCCAGATGAGCACTCTGCTACTGAGCTATTGCTCCAGCTCGATTTCTCATTTTAAGGTAATAAATTAAATATCAAAACAAGTTGTTGTAATATAGGAAGTTTACCTGGTGAAGGAGGTTCTTCTTCATCTGATGCTATATTAAAGGGGGGAAGGTGAAATGGACAGAAAAAGAGGTTGGTGTGGACAGTGGTAGGGGAAGGGAAAGGGAGAGAAAGAGAAAATGTAAACATTAGTATGTTTCATACTTTTAAATAATCAAAAGTCAAGGACTAATAATTTTAGCATGAACTAGAATTTTTCATTATTTAATGGAATTAACATATAATTAATTATAGGAAATTTAAAAAGATATACACATTGTTTAATGTATGTATTTATTATAAAGTATCATTTTTGTACTAATTTGCTGTTGTTTCTTCCTTTTTATTTTCCAAACAAGACTGACTTTAGTTAGTTCACACAGTTTTAAGCAGTTTTCCAAGGTATAAGTCATATATGACATACAGATCCTGGAACCAGACCCCCAGCCGTTGACAGGTTCCAGAAAGGAGGGAAGCAGTAGGCAAGGGAAAAAGTAAGCCAAGCAATGGTAGTGGTTAGAATCTTGCAATCTGACTAGCAATCTGAATGCTTCTTTACTTATACAGAATTCAGTAAACAGAATAGATTCATGCTGTTTCAAAATATAGATATTTTTGTTTCTGGGCATATGTTTAATTTTTTTCTCTTGCACATCTAGAGCTATAAGTTTAGTCATCATGGTAAATAGAGTTTATCTTTTATAATAATTTTACCTCATTAACCACATAACTTAAATTTGAAGAATTTAGAAGCATATGACAGTGTTCTCACGCTACTAGCTCCTGTGTGTTCAAGAACCCAAGATAGAAAGAAAATCTTCAAGCCAGCCTGAGCAGATTACCATGCCTTGAGTTGTGTGTTATTAACTCTAAATGGTCAGAGTATCAGTGAAAAAATCCTCAGGCCAATTTTGTTGCAGTTATTTTTCAAGTTCTGGAATAATTAACTGTTTTACATTTTGTATTTTATAGAAGTTGACATATGTCTAATCTTGACATTCTTTTGTTCATTGGTCATATGACACCACACTGGCCCTGCATGAGCTAACTATTCTAAGAAAGAGAAAAACCTCATTGTATTGTTGTTGTTTTGTTGTTTTTTAATGCATTTTTTAAATTTTAGAACAATCTTATTTTATATTCCAATCTCACTTCCCTCTCCCTTCCTTAGGGATTCAAAAAATTCTGTCATATCACTTGAGGCAGGACAAACACCCTTCCTCTCCCTGTATCTAGGCTGGTCAAGGTATCTCTCTGTATGGGATGGGCTCCACAAAGTCAGTTCATGCACTAGGGTAAATACTGGGTCCCTTGCTAGTGGCTTCCCAAACTATCCAAGCCATATTACTGTCACCCCACATTCAGAAGGCCTAGTTTGGTCCTAAGTTGTCTCTCCAACTGTCAGTCCAGAGTCAATGAGCTCCCACTTGCTCATGTCAGCTGTTTCTGTGAGTTTCTCCATAATGGTCTTGACCCCTTTGCTCATATTACCACATCTCCCTCTCCATAATTGGACTCCAGGATTTCAGCCTAGTGCTTAGGTGTGCATCTCTGCATCTGCTTCTTACAGTTACTGGATGAAGGTTCTATGGTGACAATTAAGGTATTCATCACTCTTATTACGGTTATAGTTAAGGTACTCTTTCCACTATTGCTTAGATTCTTAGCTGGGGTCATTTTGTGGATTCCCCATCATGGAAATGAAAATCAATCCAATCCTGAGATAACATCTATACCTGTCAGAATAGCTAAGATCATAAACACTAACGAACGTTTATACTGAATAGGATTTTGAGTAAGGGGAACACTCTTCCATTGCTGGTGTGAGTGCAAACTTTTACCGCTGCTTTGGAAATCTGTATGGTGGTTACTCAGGAAAATGGGAATCAATCAAACTTAAGGTCCAGAAATATCACTCTCTGGCATATATCCTAAGGATACCCACTCATACCACAAATGCAGTTAATCATTTACGTTAATAGCAGCATTATTTGTAATAGCCAGAACCTGGAAGTAGTTAGATACCCCTTAATCAGACAATGGGTAAAGAAAATGTGGTACATTTACACACTGGAGTACTAATCAGCTGTAAAAAATGGCATTTTGAAATTTGCAGGCATATAGATTGTACTAGAAAAAATATCCTGAGTGAAGTAACCCAAGACCAAGAATGACAAACACTATATTTACTCACTCATAAGTGGATATTAGACATAAAACAAAGCATACCCACCATACAGACCACAATCATGGGTCTTTGGCAAGCAGCTGTATTGGTTTTATAATTTTTGCTAGTTCCATAGGTTGTGACTGTGCTATCTCCCAATTTTTTTTTAAATTTAAGTGTCTCTATATCATGTTGTATGGGATATAGGGCATTTCTCAGTCCTTGGATTATGATGGAAAGGCAAGAATAAAAATAAGTACAGCTCCCAAGATTATTCCCAATAGATGATTCACTTTCTGTTTTCTATTCAATTAAAAGTCATTGTCAACATCAAAAGCTTTTATTCTATGTGAGAGAACATGATTATTGACTACCACTGATTCAATACCAAGTTGAAACTACACTCAAAATAACATGGGCAATAGATAATCTTATTTTACCAGAAGTCAGAAATAGGGTTAAAAACTCACACACAAAACCACCAACAAAATAGATCCTAAGCAAACAAGAATCTACAATCGATTGTTATTAATATCCTTGAATATAAATGGTCTTAAATCACTTATAAAAAGACACAGGCTAATAGATTGGATATGAAGACAGAATCCATCTTTCTGTTACATACAAGGAACGCACCTCAATTTCAAAGACAGACGTTACGTCAAGGTAAAGGGATGGGAAAGATTTTCCAATCAAATGGTCGTAAAAAGCAAACAGGTGTAGCTATCTTAATATCTTCAAACTAAAATTGATCAAAAGAGATAAAGAAGGTCATTTCATATTCATCACAGGAGAAATCCATCAGGATGAAGTCTCAATTCTGAACATCTATGCCCCAAATACAAAGGCACCCACATTTGTGAAAGAAACATTACTAAAATTCAAATCACACATTAACCCCCACACACTATAGTGGAAGACTTCAACACCCCACTCTCACTACTGCACAGGTCCACCAGACATAAACTTAACAAAGAAACAATGGAAATAACAGAAGTTAGGACCCAATTGTCTTTCACAGACATCTATAGAACAGTCCATCCAAAGAAATGAAAAACCGTCTTCTCAGCACCACATGGAACCTTCTTTAAAATCAACCACATACTTGGCGATGAAGCAAACCTCAACAGACAAAAAAAATTGGAATAACCACCATGGCTTAAAATTAGAATTCATTGTCAACACAAATTGCAGAAACCCCACAAACTCATGGAAATTGAACAATGCCCAATTGTGTCACCCCTGGGTAAAGGAAGAAATAAAGAAAAAAATTGCTATAATTCAATGAAAATGAAGGCACAACATAACCACACCTATGGGATACTCTGAAAGCAGTTCTAAGAGGAAAGTTCATAGCACTAAGTGACCACATGAAGAAACTGGAGAATTGCCACACTAGAGAATTAACAGAACAACTGAAAGTGGTACAACAAAAAGAAGCAAATGCATCCAGGAGGAGTAGACGCCAGGAAATAGTCAAACTGAGAGCTGAAATCAATTAAGTAGAAACAAAGAGAACAACACAAAGAATCAATGAAACAAAGAGTTGGCTCTTTGAGAAAATTAACAAGATAGACAAACCTTTATCCAACCTAACCAAAAGAAAGAGAATATGCTAATGAACAAAATCAGAAATAAAAAGGGGGACATAACAACAGACACTGGGGAAATCCAAAGAATCATCAGGTCATACTTTGGAATTCTATACTCCACTAAGTTGGAAATTTTAAAGGAAATGGATGGTTTTCTGAATAGATATTACTTTCCAAAGTTAAGTCAAGAAGAGATAAACAATTTAAACAGATCTATAACCCCTAAAAAAAGAAAAGCAGCCATAAAAAGCCTTCCAACCAAAAAAAGTCCAGAACCAGATTGTTTCATTGGAGAATTCTACCAAAATTCAAGAAGAGCTAATACCATACTCTTCAAATTTTTCCACACAATAGAAGCAGAAGGATCACTGCCAAACTCTTTTTACAAGGTTACAATTACCTTAGTACCCAAACCACACAAAGGCACAATCGAGATAGAGAATTACAGACCAGTCTCCGTCATGAACATCAATGCAAAAATACTCAATAAAATACTGGCAAATGGAATCCTAGAATACATCAGAAAAATCATGACCAAGTAAGCTTTATCCTAGGGATGCAGGGATGGTTCAGCATACGAATATCCATCAACGTAATCCACCATATAAACCATCTGAAAAAGAAAAACCACATAGCCATCTCATTGGATGCTGATAAAGCATTTGACAAAATCCAACACCTCTTCATGATCAAGGTCTTGTAGAGATCAGGAATAACGGGAACATACCTTAACATAATTAAAACAATATACAGCAACCTGACTGCCATTATCAAACTAAATGGAGAGAAAAATGAAGGTGATTTCCCTAAAATCAGAAACAAGGATGTCCACTCTCTCAGTATCTCTTCAGTATTGTACTTGAAGTCCTTGCTAGAGCAATAATACAACCAAAGGAGATCAAGAGAATACAAATAGGAAAGGAAGAAATCAAACTTTTGCTATCATATTGCAGATGATATGATAGTCTATCTAAGTGACCCAAAGAATTCTATCAGGGAACACCTGCTGATGATAAACACCTTCAGCAAAGTGGCAGGATACAAAATTAACTAAAAAAAATCAGTAGACCTACTATATATAGACAATAAAGGGGATGAGAAAGCAATCAGAGGAATATCACCCTTAGCAATAGCCACAAACTACATAAAAATATCTTGGGGTAACTATAACCAAACAGGTAAAAGACCTGGATAACAAGAACTTGTAGTCTTTAAAGAAAGAAATTAAGAAGATACCAGAAAATGGAAAGATCTCCCATGCTCTTGGATAGGTAGAATCAACATAGTAAAAATT